ATATAATTATCCAACGAGGATGCAATCATGACACATTGCTCGTCACAATTATGGAATTGAAGTTTAACAAGTACGGATCCCAGCACACTTCCGCATAGGGTTTCCTCATGCGCGTGCCTGTTGTTATTCGTTTATGAAGTTTAACAAGTGCGGATCCCGACACACTTCGGCACAAGATTCACGACACATTTATGAAGTTCAACAAGTAAGGCTCCCAACACACTTCCGCACAGGGTTCCCTGATGGGCGTGYCTGTCGTTATTTGTTTATGAAGTTTAACAAGTACGGATCCCAGCACACTTCCGCACAGGATTCCCGGCAGTGCCATGTTTTTGAAGTTCAGCAAGTAAGGATCCCGGCACATTTCCACACAAGGTTCCCGTGCGGCGTGCCTAACATGTACGGGTTTGAACACGCTTCCTCATTCGGGATATCATTTATAAAGTTTCATTAAGTACGGATCTCAGCACACTTCTGCATGTGCTTAAGCCGTGGATGGGCGTGCCTACGTTGCTTGGAATGCAGCCAAAAATGAATTCGTTAGAAAGAGGACACAGTATAATGTCCTATTTTAACGAATAACATGTTTCAGGTATCTGATCATCCGGAACCAATAACTGAATACAAAGTCAAATGGACCGGATACCCCAACGAAGAATCTACATGGGAACCTCTCTCTAATCTTAAGAACGCCATGAAACTTGTCCGCGCCTATGATCGTGCTAATCCTACGTCCTAGATACCCATGAAACTTGTCCGCGCCGAAGAATCTACATGGGAACCTCTCTCTAATCTTAAGAACGCCATGAAACTTGTCCGCGCCTATGATCGTGCTAATCCTACGTCCTAGATACCTATACCACTATGGCATAAACCCCCGCTAAAAACCCTTGCAACCCTGCTCTACACACACCCTTGAACCCAGTCCACCCTTCCCTTGATCCTCATTCCTGATGTCTGATCTGCCTTTGCCCTCGCCTAGCCTTGTCCCATCTGTCCTCTCCACTACCTTGTCTCTCTTGTCCAATGTTTGTGAACTTGCGTGACGCCGGCGATAAAGGATCTAATGGCAAGTGCACGAGGACGATGATCTGCTGCCTCACTGTTAATGGAGAATATGCAGCTGGTTTGGCCACCATGCGGTTTCATCGGTCGGCATACCGACTCGCGGACTTACTGGAGCAGCAACTCGTGACATGGATATTTGCATCAGTCTGCGACTTCCTTGCTTCCAGATCAGACCTCATTGCAGTTCGTGTACCGGACGCACCCTAGCACTTGGACTTTGACACTTGAACTATTACTACGCTTCTTGGACTTCTACCTATCGCGGCTGCTGAAGACCGCTTCTACCACCTACTCCAAAAGACCTGATCAAGACCGCTGCAGACCCCCTTTCAAGACACTTGGACACTTTGTTCCTACATGAGATTTTGCTTCCGACTCCTTCGGACACACCAGCCTTCGCATCCTGAACAAACATTTTCATTTTTATTTTTCCTGACTTTGACAACCTTGTAGAACATCATTAGCAGATCCCTGTTTCCCTAACCATTGTTCCCTGTACCCACTAGAACATCAATAGACATCCCCTGTTCCCCTGACCATTGTTTCCCTTACCCACTACAACATCAATAGAAATACCTAGTTTTCCTGAACACCGTTTCCCTTACCCAGTAGAACATCAATAGAAGTTCCCTGTTCCCTGAACTCTATTCCCCCTTAACCTATAGCGAACCATGCAGTCCCCTTAGTTCATCAGTAGGACTAACCTGTTCCTTGCAACCCCCTCTAGTTCATTAGTAGGACAACTCTGTTCACCAGTACCAAACCCTGTTCCCTCTTACTCCCGCAGCCCATGCCACCCATATTATACCCCTCTTCCCTTTCGACTTGTTAACCAGTGATCGGCCCCGTCCCGTCCTTCACAGATTTTCAGCATTGCTTCATGATTTTTGGCAGCCGGGACGTTGCCTTCTAGAGGGAGGGGATAGTGTTACGGACTTCGCCAGGGCTCGATCCCTGGTCTATCTTTTTGCTGTTTCAGCTGCATCCCGTTTTTCGGCCTGGCGCCCTTTTTCCAAACTCCTCCTTTGGTACCGTAGGATTTCGGACAACAGCCGCCATGCTGCAATTCGGGCGCCACTTTCAAATAGTGCATTTTTCAGTTCTGCCCTCGGGGGCCTTTGCAGAAATGCCCCTGGTACCGTACGTGTCACCGGTACTTATACCGGCTCTCCGTACGGTACGGGGGCAGTCTCATACCTGTTCTCTGCTGCTGTACTCGTACTCAGTGTGACTTGCTGTTTTAGGCATTCGGGAATCCAAGACTTCGACTTTGTGCCTTGCCACTGTGTCTTGCCTTTAAACTGTTACACCAATTACACCAATTTCTCACCTTCCATTCGACCCGCAAAACTGGACCTGGTCTTGCCAAAGGAAACAAGGGAGTTATACTCTAGATCGTTACACACTCTATCAGTTAAGTCCACTTACAAAATGATATGTCCTAGGGTTAATTTAAGAGACTGCATTGAAGATTGCTGGATGAAGAACCTTAATATAAGCAAAGATGATTGAGAGGGTTCAAGTGGTTTCAAACCTGTAAATCGAAGCCAGCAAATGTAACATCCTTACAGTGGCAAATCGCTCACCGCTGCCTCCCTACGAATAACTGGATTATTAACAGAACCTCCTTAGAACAAWAAGGTATCACTCAACCTTAGTGTAAGTTTTGTAGATCAGCCTTCCCATCCAAGCTCATACCTGAAACAATTGCGCACATTCTTTTCCATTGCCTAGGGTCGGTCTGGCTTTGGCGGTGGTGGGATAGGATTTGGAATCAATTGGGAACCACCCTCCCCTGGCGCTGGAATGGAAAGCTCTCCTCCTGGAATTCTTGTACCCGGATCAAGTGGATGAGTTCACAATCATCTTGTTCACAATCGGTAGAAGAGCAATCATTTGGGCAATCTGGTTAAGGTGTACCTATGAAATGGAAGGTTCTCACCTGGATGGCCCAAATTTCAATGAAATTGTCAAACAACATATTCAAAGTTCAAACATACCTTACTATTAAATGGTGGAATTTAAAAGAAAAAATCCTTCATCTATCATTACAAAATGAGATCTGGCACCATATCAAACAGTTGAATAGAAGCTGGCTTTGGGGARACCAGGGAGGGATGTTGAGGCAGGTGTTGTGGGAAGCAACACATGAGAGTTCATAAGGGTCCTTTCAAAGGAATTACCATTTGGTCTTCAATGATTGAAGTGCTGCTGATTTTCCTGATCCCTTTCCCTTACTAGGATTTTGTTTGGTTCCCTCTTCGTGGTATGGGTAATTTTAAAGGAATGTCCCTTTTGGTTCATAATGGCAAGGGGCATCGTTCTATGCTTGGTTGTCAAGAATTTCTGCCGCCCAGGGTGGGTGAAGGGACCCTAAGTTACTATTCTCGGTAGTTTCATCTGTTTCATCGGTAGAATTCATCAGGGGCGCTGCGCCTGTTTCAATTGTTCCAATTGTACCTGAAAGGACACTAGACCCCCTTTCCAGCAGGTGTAGCTCCCCACCAACAGACCGAAGCCCCCTGTAAGATAGGTAGGAGTGTATGGTCATACATCACTCCTAACTGTTGAAGCGGGCAAGATTCTTAAAATAATAATAATAATAATAATAATAATATTATTATTATTATTATTAAAAAAAAACGACTGACCCATCGTTGCACACTCTAGATTGCTCTAGAGTGCCCGGCTGTGACGGTGGTTTTTTCAAGTGTGGTCTCCTGTACCCTTGATGCCGCCTTGAAAATCAAGAGTAGGCCTCGTGTCTGGGCCCACAACCACCTCTACCGTGACAACACAAAGCTTGTGTCTTCTTCTTCTTCTGTTCTTTTTTTTTTTTTTTTTTTTTTTTTAATTGCTCCAATCTATTTGTTGGGAGCAGCACGTGCTGGGAAGACGGCCCAGCGTCCCTTATAATGGAAATACATTGATGATTGATGATCATTGATGATACAAAAATTGGGATGATTGAGGATGATTTAGGATGATTTAGGATGATTTAGGATGATTCAGGATGATAGAGTGGATGATTGAGGTCATGAAATAGAGATACATGACGACTAATCAGAATGATAGTCTACTCAGCACTCCTATCCCTAATTTCTTGTATCCATTCCAACCAACCAATCACAACTAATCATGTGCTGTGCACCAATCAGGCCTCTTCTCGGTCTCATACCCTAATCTGGCTCGGTTACAGGGCAGCGCTACCCACCCCAACTCTGACCATCGTCGGCCAGTTGCAGCCACTAGTCAAATTCACAGATTGCCTTCCTTCTCTGTTACTGAAAAAAGAAAACAAAAAAAAAAAAGGGAAACTACGCAGGAGTCACAAAAATGAGTTATAATTGCACTATGGTCCAATATACAGTTTCGAATTGCAGTTCGGGTAATGTATACAACCCAGCTTTCTGGCCAGGTAGGCTGCCTGAAGCACAATTGCAAACTTTATCTTGCCCCATAGTGCCATTATATCTCTTTTTTGTGACTCTACTGCAAGAAAAGTTATTGTGGTGTATTTCTAAAGTTGGGTCGTCTAGAGTTAGGGCATCCGCACACTAGGGGTCTTTTTCGCGAAATCACAAAATCTGCTACTCTATTGCAGTCACACAAGGCCCCTGCCCCCAGCAAAATAGCAAAACGTGTAGTATATGTCAGCGGTCTGCTGGGCATTTGCATTTGCTTTTCGGGAATTAAAAAAGAGACAAACCTCCGTGTGCAAGAAAACACTATTGCTTTTTTTTTTTTTTTTTTTTATGAAACATAATTGCTTGCGTACTACAGTCCAAAAAAAATGAAGGTCACCATCTGCTATCAGTTGTGTGACCAAGCAGATGCACGTCGAGCAATTTTCAGTGTCATTCAAAAGGGCCACCGTGTGTGAGTATGACACACACCTAACTGTTATACCGCGTTCCACGCGGGGACGCA